CGGAAACTTTAATTACAAAAGTCATTATAATATGTCATAATATAGATGGCACATTATAACGATTCGTTATTCGTGTACTTTATGACAACGCAACGTCGCTAACAAAAATATCGCGAAACTCTTGATGGTACTTGAGTTGTTTAGAATCTCTCTATATTTACATACGACGCGCGACCGATAACTTGTTGCTCTCAGCCCGGAATACAACAAAATATTATGTCAAGGATATCTGTCGCTCTACTTAAATTATTTAAAAAAAATATCGATAATCACAACGTGACGAGAGACTGTAGGTTTCAATTATTTGAGATACAAAATTATATCAATCTACTGTTCTTTGATTACTCTTATAGCGATGCTTTTTTTTATTTTAAAATACTAACAAACAATGCGAAAACAGTGTAAAATATTTCTATAAATATGAATAATTTATTTAATTTTGGATTTACCTGACATTAGAAACGCTTCTCTGAATGTCCACATTGTTCCTCCTACTGGCCTCTTCGAGAGTAACGACCTCCAGTTGGCGTCTTCTCTCTTCTTCGGGCGGATGCAATGGTATGATAATGTAGTCAGGTTCCTTCTTCTTGGCGGCTGTTGATTGTTGCTCCTCCTGCGTTCTCGTCGTCGGCTCGACAATCTTTTTCTGTACCTCCGAACGTGGCACCTTCGTTCGGCCGCTAAACCTCAGCCTGGAAAATCTCTGCAGAAAGCCGCCTAAGCCGCCCTTCTTTCTCTCCTCGTTCTTCATGACGGCGGAAGCAGATGAAGACAGGGAGGATGTCGAAGACACCGCGTAGGTGTTCGCGATCTCCTTCTGCGGAGCGATAAACAATGGCCTTTTCGCGATTACAATATCCGCGTCTTTCTTGTTGATATATAGCGCACGTTGCTCTTCGCTCTGACGTTTGTCGTGATCACTACCGCGATGATTCGTATCAACTACTGCCACAGCCATCGCGGGCTTCCCACTACTATGTTCACCGAATGAACCTGGAACGGCGGGTGGGGACTCGGAGCCAACAACACTGCGAACACTGTGTCCCTTCTCCTCTTTCTCCTTCTTTTCCGCTACCTCCACCTCGTCCCTCTTCTCCTCCTCCTCCTCTTCCTTCTTTGCTGTCGCTGACTTTTCGATCACGACTCTCCATAAACATTCGACGGTGTCGCGATCATTCAAGTCAGAACTACGAGAACGCTGTTCAGGATCTTGGTTCGACGACGCATTTTCAAAATTCTCTTTACACCGTTTTTGATCCGTTTCCTTACTCTCATCCTTTCGAAGATATTGTTGAGAAAACTGTACCATTTGTTCCGGATAAAATTCATCGATTAAGTTCTTCTTCACGTCCGCAGACTCCTCTTTGCGCTTACCAAAAGATTCTTCGTCGATGTAAGATATCGTCGTGGAATTTCCAAGGACACTTTCTAACTCTGCAATTGGCTTCTCTAATTCAATCTTCTCTCGTAGGACGACCCTATTCTCCAAGCAGGACGCTCCTATGGGTTTGGTTTCCAAGCAGGGATAATCTACTTCATCGTCTAACACCCGCGGACTTAATGCACTAGCATCGCCACAGGCTGAAAATGGATCCGAGTTTTTTTTTATCTGACCAAAGAACGAATCATCTTGCTGCTCCTTCGGTCTGGAATTCGACGAGTCCTTACTGATGTTTGTATTGGAGCGCATCACGTCGGTTTTTAGTTCTGAGGAGTGTCCTGATGCAGCTTCTTCCAGTTCATCGCAGGCGTCCATTCGATGAAATGCAGCCTTCGAGTTCTGCAACGCCTTGACGTAATCGCACTGTTGCGCCAGCTCGTAGCTGGCGTTATTTATTACTCGTCTTCTTCCAGGAGAACTGGGAGATCTATTGTGATCTTCATCATTATCCTTAAACTTTTTCTGGAAATTTCTTTCGTCCACTTCAAACTGCTGCGCTAGCTCGTAACTAGCATTTTTCTTCACCTTTCGGTTCCTAGCTCGACCAGATGCCGTTCGTTCAATTGTTTCCATCGCCAAAATGGCGGCGTTCGCAACTTCGGAAGCGGCTGCCTCCTCTACCTCGCGCTTGAACTGTTTGATGGCTTCATCAAGATCGTTCTCCGTCACCATTGCCGTGTCCAGCACACAGTTAGTATGATCCTGAGTCTTCACCGTCGATACCGTCTTCATTTGTTTGTCGTTGAGAGTTTGCTGCTTTTCGCAATGATCGCTCGCGCATTCGACCTTCGTTCGTTCTTCATTTTTCTTCTTACGATTTTTTATACTGCCGTCCATGAATGAATTCTGAGCCGGCTGCGTCCTAACCGAGCTGATTAGCGCGACTTTCGTTTTCGTTTCATCGTTCTCCTGAAGAATCGCATTTTCTCGCGAACTTTTCAGGGTCATCGTTGCCTCGTCATCGGACGCGGTCTCCGCCATTTCGAGATCGTTTATTCTGTCGACGCACGTAGTGGTGACGCCACAGAGATTCAAATCCACCGGTACGCTAGCCACCTGCGTGTAATTCTCGAAGAGAGAAGACGTCGATACGTAGGAAGTCGTCCTCGAGGTGCGAAGACAAAATGGCGAGGTGCTGCTCAAATCACTACGTGCTGACTCTTCGACACTGTCGAGCAGACTGGGCGCGCTCTGCGACTTGTCCGTGAATCTAAAATTAAAACGCTCCTCGTGACTCCACCCTTGGTGCTGCTGTTGGCGGCGCCGGCGGCGGTGGCGGTGGTGATGGTGATCGTGTTGATCATACTGCTGCTGCTGGTACTGCTGCTGCTGTTGCGGATGTTGATGATGATGATGATGATGATGGTGATGGTGATGATGCTCCGCGCCACAGCCGGCTATATTTAACCGGGCTGTCTTTTGCGCGGACTTGAGTTCCAAAAGCCTGTCTCTTTTCGTTTCCACGCCGATCTCTCGTAGATCGATCGTGTTCCGGTAGTCCAAGGATGTCGCATACTTGCCGGACTCACCGTACAGTAATAACCGATCCTCGAAACCGGTCGTTAACCGGGATTCCGTATTCGTCCGGTTTCGTTCGTATTCTTCGAAATTGTCTTCGTCATCCTCTTCCTCGTAATCGTGGTCCCTGTATTCCTCGTCCTCGTGCCAAAAATCTCTATTTCGTGGAGACCAACATCATTGAAATATTGGTGCAAGTAGAGTTAGAATATGAATGATAAAATATTGAGATTTAATATGAATACTGACTATTTTTATTCAAAATTTTGCATTTATGAATTTTTATGTAACAACTGAACTACTTAAAAAATGCGTATGCAAAAAGTTGCGCTCTTGAAAACCAAACGATGATAATTTAACGACTCGACAATAAGTTTGTGTTTCTAACATTTATAATATCAGCAGCAAAAGTCAAGGTGGTCTTCCTCAGGGTCGCGATTGCATTTAACTTGGCCGTAAAACAATCATCGCACGGCGAACAGTCGGTATACGTTGCCAAGAACATTGTACGACGCGCGGCTTTCTCGCACAAACGTATACGCACATTGTTTAAATTAACTCTTTCATTTCGAAATCGGAACAGAGAAATTAAGAAGAAATCTCTCAACTGTGCATTTTTGAAATTATTTAAAATAAGAAAACATAATTATATACATATATAAATGCGGATATTTTTATCATTTTTTTTTATAAATAATTAATTTAAGAAAATTGTATTACCATATTTATACTAGATTAATATTAAATATCTCTCTTCTTGCTCTTAATAAATTCCAAATTTTAAATTATCAGATTAAAAAAAAAATAGAATAAATATATCTATTTCTAATGTTTCTCAAATACACTTACCGACAGTCCTTGCAAACTGTTAATTCGGGAAATAATGCGTGATTACAATAGTTGTGTACCTCTATTCTAACGGCGCATGTGAAAATAGGCGAGTGTGTGCAAAAGCTAAGAAAAACAAACAAAAGCTTTCGTGGCTTCAGTTAAAATTACAACGCAAGTGGACGTGTATTAACTGCGTTACGTTTCGAAAAATGATAGCATGTACAAATGAAAAAAATGCTCGAATAATGTACAATATATTAAAACATCAAAAACTAGAAAACTCATATGAAAAAACATATTATCCTATTATTTTAATTGTATTTTTATTTAGTTATTAAAAATCAAAAATAATTTTTGACTGAAACCAAATACAATATGTTCTCTAAGATTCAGATAGAAATCTTTTTAAATCATTTTATAACATTTTTTGTTATGTACACAGCAAACAAGAAAAAAAGAAAGAGAGAGGGAGAAATAAAGTCTGGATTCAAAAGCATGTAACTTACCTTGGACGTTGTTTGTTCTTCCCAATATTTGACAAATCAGCACCCCTCTTCAGGTACAAAGGCGTGAAACCATTTGACATAGACACTTGGTCAAAACCTTCGTCCTTCTGACAGGTATCCAGACTTTCGAAGCTGCGGTAGGGCCTGATCCTCGGAAAATGGTCGGCTAATGTGCTGGGAAAACCATTCGGTAGCAATCTGCTGTAGTCTTGTTCCAAGCTATCAGGCGAATCGTTCTCTGCATGAGAAGCGTTCGACCGATTGGAGTATTCCAGAGAGTCGAAACTGTAGCTGGAGGGTGACAGGGTCGCGCAGGTCCTCTCCAAGGACTCGAACTGCAATAGCGAGCTCGATCTGGAGGAGGCGGTGGACCTGGATGATCTCGGTGAGGCCGGATACTCGTCATATGTTGTCACGTGCTGATGGTAATGATGATCAGTACCATAATGATCGCGACGACGTCTCTTTTTTGGCACCACCGAGTTGCACTCGCTGCCGCTACCGTCTAGCCGCTCGTCTGCCGAAAACAGAAACGAGAGATGAGAAAGATGATGACGATAATGACGCGAGGCACGTAAGGACTCGACAGAGTAAAAGCGAGACGAGAGAACGTGAGTGGCCTAAACCTACTTTACTGTCGAAATCCAGATCGCATGTGTTGTTTTTAATTCCGTTTCGAATCTTGTTAGGATAGATAAAAGAGGATGTTTGACGACCCACTTTGTAAAATCGAGTCACGGAAGTGAGATCCAATCTAATGGTAGCCACTTTTGTAACCCCATGCATACCTTCCGTCAGGAAGCTACGGTTCATTCAACCGGAAGCAACGCTTACAGCGTTATACGCTGAGCACTATCAGTTCTCGACCGGTTGATAATGGTCGCGTGCGATGCGCGATTGACCAATGTCGATTATCATCGATTAAAATGTCATGTTCAGATGCGATCGTGATAAGTCTTAATGTACATTAATAATGCTCGTTAAAATTCCGTGTTAAAATCGGATGCTGGAGGTCGAAATGTAAGTAAATTGGAATTTAATCATTTATTACGTTATGTTCTTTTTTTACTTGGATTTATAAAGATTTGTATTATTTCAATTTTTTATATTTGATAGATATAAATTTTTTATATTTTTATAAAAAAGTTTTCTTTTACATCTTTATTTATTAATAAAAGTCGATTTTATATTTAACTATCTGACTTAGAAATTTAAATATATTTCCGGAAAGAGTCTTTTAGTTTCGGCATTGAAGCAACGAGCATTCGTTTATATAATTTGATCCCTAGAATTCACGATTAAGAGAGTATATCAGTGTATTTATCTTATGTATATATTGCATTAATTTGAGATCAAACGCAATATATTCCTCGGTAAATAATACCAGAAGGAATATTGCATCGGCAAACACACGAAAGGAATTACTACTAGAAAATAACTTGGCCAGTTATATTTGTCATTAAATCGACTTTTAGCAATTTATACCTTAAGGATATATAGCAGAAATAAAAAGAAATTGATGCAATGTTTTATTTATTATTAGAGTTTAATTTACGACGTATTTCCAACAATATTCTTATAATTATTTGGAATAATTTTAGAAATAATTTATTCCATTTTTTAAATACTGATTTCATTTGTGTTTTTTTGCGAACATTATTTTCATCTCGAAGCATCCATGTTAAAAAGAGAAAGTAAATGCCCCTGCAACGCTGCAACCATGTGAAACTGTGTGTTACAATGACTGCGCATTCAAAGGCGCTAAAGTTTAAGAACATGATGGAATGGCATTTAATTGTAATAATACGGTTATAATTCGGTATATTCAGTTAAATGTATCTTACACGTAATATATAATTTAGATTAAATTAAATTAATAACATTTCTCAGAACTTCTCTATAATCTCATGATTATTTCCTAGTTCTAAAGGTCCGTTTAATAAATCTTTTATCGCATAGATTTCTACTTTTAGAGTAATGCATATTAAATTATAACTTATAATTATTATATATATAGCTATAATTTAGATTTTTAGTAAAAGAAAAAGTATATAAGGCTAAAGTTTAATTTTCGACTTCTTAATTCGATCCCGCCAATTTCAATGGTGTAATATTCGTGACAGATAATTGCGAGTCTGACGTAACTCACGTAATTCCTGTAATTCTCTAATAAGCCAAAAGATTAGGCTGCTAAGGAGAAAGAGAAAGTAGAATAATTATGAATGAACAAAATGTCTTACTATGTCTTACCGTGATATTCTCACTAAGGCAAAAAATTAGGTTTTATAAGATAATCTTTTACACGCGCTTTTCATCATATATTAATAAATATCAATAAAATGTGTGTGTGTGTGTGTTAATGATTAGAATTTTTACCTGTGGATCTCTGCTTCGCCTTGATATGAATGACGCTCTCGGTCTCCGAATCGGATCCCAGCCAATATGTCGTTCCGCTGCGATCAGAATCGCTTTGAAGATCGTCGGATGTCTCCTCCACAATTGTCTCTAAAAAATCTATTTGTTGTACTAGCACCGTATCTGTAAGCACAAACATTCCTATGGTTAATAATTTATGTTAAAATTTATCATTCAAGTCGAATAAAAATTTTAATTTTTAAATATACAGATATACAGAATATACAGAATAAATATACGGATTTTAAAAATATATATAAATATTAAATATTTTTGTTTTAATACAATTTATTTCACATGTAATTTAATGAATATTTATTTTCTATTATATAAAAACTAATTTTTTTAGAAAATTGGTGCTTCTTTTATTTCTTTGTTTTATATATCAATCACAGATTACTAGTTTGTGCGTACTAGTTTCCATGTCCTACACACATTTTCTGCGTGCATTATTTTATTGTTTCATATGATAGAACTTGCGTTCAATAAAATAAACTCATCATTTATATCCTTGTCATTTCGTCAAAAGGGCAGTAGCTACCCGTTTACAGAAGCAACTGAGCATAATTCTTAACGAGAATTCGTGACTCATTCGTTATCGAGAAATGCAACCATTATCACATTGGAAGATAACGTAACTGGAAGGTCAACCACCTCTTGTTTGAGTTTTCGCCGTCAAAGCCGGTTTAAGACATTTTAGGCTATGCTATACATACTCTCCGAAAAGTCACTTTTCGACATATAAAGTCTCTTTCTGACTTTTCCTTTTATTTTTTTAACATTGCATCTTTTGTAACTTTTATATTAAATAATTATTAATCTAATTTTTTTGTTTAAATTTAACAAAATATTGTAACATATTACATATTAGAATTAAAAATGTTTATTACATAATTGTATGGATCACCTCCAGAAAAGTAAATACATTGTTTTTTTTATAATGGCTCATCTGTTCGAAGTCACCGACCATCGGAGAGATGTCTGTCCTTGACAATACAAGAGGCTTGGAGTTTTATCCGTTAGTCACCAACCTCAGGTTGAAAAAAGCCTGAGTAAAGATCGAGAAACTAGTTCCGCTGTGGAGAGTGAATTGAAAATACCATGAGTGGTGTACTTTAGTATTGTATATGTGCTCTTAAGCACTTAGACACCTGTGCCTAACGGTTCGCACATTGACTTAAACACATCCTCTTTCTCTCACTCTCCCTTACTAAATTATTGTATTTTATTTGTCTTCCTATAAAAAAAAAATTAATTTCTTATTCAGCTCGAGAGTAAAACGTATTTAACAAATAAGGCGAAATAAGAAATATCGCGATAAAAATTATTAGCGAGTACAATGGGTTAACAATGGTCAATTGGCCGCTCTCGACGAAGAGCTCGCTGTAGGAACGTAAAGTTTTGTATACGTTCCCGCCTTCTCCCATCATCGTGCGATGAATGATGGCGTGAACAGTTAGCCGCTGCTGGGAACGGGATGTTGCATAGCTGCACGGCGCAGCGCTAGAATGCATTCGATGCATTCTAACCGGGAGCGACTACGCGATCTCTTGTGGAAAAGTCAAGCGCGCTGTCTTATCTCCCTTCATCTTATTGAAATAGTTGCATAATAACATTGCGCTGTAACATTTGTATTGTGCGTCGCTCTCTTCTCTCCCTGCTGCCTCGTCTGATTTACGATTAAAGAGTCAAGAGAGTAAAATCAATGCAGAGCCCGAATTTAAATATTTTTACTCTATATCTATTTTCGCTGAGATTTCTTAAATAAAACTCGCGGAAGTTTGTGGCTGATAAAAAAAAGACGAGAATAAATAGTCGAATAGATGTTCAAGCCGAGATCGAAGCTTTCCTTGAGAGATTGCACGTAATTTTCCACGCGAGTGGGCGGCGATAACGTTTTATCGAAATAAACTTTGCACATCTGCATCGGGAATGCTTGAATGCGATTGCAGAGACTGACAGATCACAGCTGACTTTACAACTCAGCGCGAGAGAGTAATGAATGAAGTGAAAGGAGTAACATTAATATGATAAAATTTATTTGAGATACATGTTTTCACAAATCAAGTCAATACTTTATATCGACATTTTATTATGTTTAATTATGTAAAAATTGCTACGTTTTAAATCTTACGCACAGCGCAATCTTAATACGAAAACTATAAATATTGATCAAAATACTTGAAAGATTAATCGAAAATACAAGTCGTCACTACAATCCGCGATCGATTATGCGCGAATCGGAGATATATAAATGGCACGATCGGCACGCACTGAATCATTGATCGGTCGACCGATCAATTAATCCCAATAATTATAGAGCTGGTTTATTCGAGTGACGTAAGAAGTATTCTCATGTGTGCGTTTATATGTGAAGGCACCTGATTTCCGTGATATCTTGAATCATCAGTGCAGATGCACTCGGTAAATATTACATACAAGCAAACAATATTGTGCCTGTTTATATAATTTCAATTACATTAATTTAAATAAAATTATTAATAAAAATTTAAGAATTTATTTTATTTAATTCAACTAAGATAGACTTCATTAAGTTTAGGAAAAAAGATATTTCTCAATATTCGGTTATCGATAGCAATATACTGTGAGAAACGCTTGCCCCTCCCACAAGTTTCAAATGCGACGTTAGATGCGGAATGAGAGAAGATACGTCATTAAATGGAATTAAATGTCTCTAACCATGTGAGTCCGGACCTCTCCTCTCCTCGACGATTGCGAGAGCGGATCGTGAGACGATGAAACGCAATTTGTCTTGCACGAGTGCGGATGCACGCACCACTATACAACATTATGGCCGAGCCACCTGTTGCAGTCGTCTGCTGGCTGTTGCCTTTCCATGACTAACGGACGAGAATAAACCGTCGCGACTTACATAAAAATAATCAGCTCGACTAGTATCTTTTCAAGAGCCTTTCAGCGGATATTAGCGATAACTGTAATATATACACGAGAGCCAGAATGCCAAAGAGTTTCTCAACACTATCTTTACCATGAACTAAAATGTTTTTCCTTCTCTTAATCCTAGTTCTCGAGCACATCGCCAGAAATTGAACTAATTTAGTCTTATCTAACTAGAAATTTTAAAATAATATTAAAAATGTATGTAATTATATCAAAATTGAAAATGTGCGATGCATTATAACAAAGTATTTTTATTTTTATTTTTGAATAATATTTTATGATAATTTCGAAAATATTGTTTATTTTGATTTCTATCTTAGATATTAAGACTTTCTTTAGAGTTCGAACCTTCTTTAGACTCTAAATCAGTCTTTCGAAGCGAATTATAAAGTAAACAGAGCGGATAACTTTTCTCGCACAGATATACATGACCGATCTCCTTACTCACTCTCTATTTCTCGCTTTGTTTGTTAGTCGCTTGCTTGTTAATCGATCCACGTTAACTCACGTGACATGAAACTCAAGCTAGTAATTTTCTCACGGTGAATCGATTAGTCATCATTACTATTGTTTAAACTAATTGACTTTGAAATTCATCAAGCAGAATTACCTCTCTCCTTTTCCACTCTGTAATTTTTATCGAAAGAAAACTTTACTCACCAAAATTCATTAAGGCGTGATTGGAAAAGGATTGCGATAAGTTCGAAACATTAAGCGTAATTAGAAAATCCAGAGAATCTTGTTTCTCGATTATTATTGTCTATCATCACATATATTTTCAAATGATTTTCTGCGATCGTAAATTCAATGATTGAACCTTGGTCGAAGATAACCGGTTGACATTGATATTGCTTGGGCATATCATATCGGAAAGCAAAATACATTATTTCCAACGATTTCCCGAAGCATTCTTAAAGCTGCCGTCTCGTCTATTACGCTCTAGATATCGGCGACGAGGCGCCGATATGATTACCACGATTTCCAGTGGCTTTAGAAAACAGGGCGACTTTGCATACAGATCGTTCTTTAATAGCACGTTGCTTTCTACTTAAACGTGAATAAGAAAGACGCCGAAAAAAAATTTACGCACATCCTCGAACTTCCATAAATGTACTACTCATTTAATCGTAATTTATCATCGCTTTTTTATGTCGATATTGATTTCAATTAAAAAACCTGATGTGCCCCATACATCTCTTATATAAAATATATCTCTAATAACAATATAATAAAATTTAAAAAAAAATGTCGTATAACAAATTTCTCTCTTTCTCTTTTTCTTAAAATATCTGCTATATGTAATATGCTTTTATATTTTATAGCAACACATTATTTGCTATACAAGACACTGCAGAATTTTCAATCTTAAAATGGATTCAACAGGTATTGTGAATATTATAAAACATTTCCTTTCCCAAGCTCTAATACGTAATTTCGGATTAAAAGGGTCAATCGCTTAGTGTGACGAGCCACGAGTAACGACCCAGATCACTATAATCGCGTCTAGAATTGCGTCGAGAAGAGTGATTTAACAGTATCTCGGTCTGGTTGTCCTACGCCTGCTCCCAAAATGAAGATTCACACGCGGTAAAAAGAAAGAGAATAAATCTTTTTTTTTCTTGATACCCAAAACTCCATAAGAGATTATTTCTGTGTTTATCGAGGCAAAGAATTATAAATTGCAATTATAAATATAGAGAGAAAACGATAATGAAAGACAAGAACATTAAAAAGATTAAAGAAAAAATTAACTAAATATGTGTTAATATGCCGGAAATAATTAAAACGTTGAACTACACGTTAAAATTAAATGCGAATAGTCGGACATCAACATGAAGAAAGAATGCACGTGTGTGAAAAAAAAACAGAAAGAAAGAGGGAACATACGAACCATTAGCCCGTAGATCCTCCAAGTGTGTCGGCTGAAAGTGGGAATGATGCTGCAGCTGGAAACCGTAGGCCGGAAGCCAGGGGTTCGGTCCATTCACCAGGTCCATATCGGCACAATCCACGGTCAAGGCTGCCGAGTCCTCCTCCTCCTCATCCGCGGCGGAAGAGGCCGCGGAGATGACGGCGACGCTCGTCGGTGTCGGCGTCGATGTCGACGTCGGCGTCAGCGTCGGCGTCAGCGTCGCGGTCGCGCTCGAGTCGCTCCCGCTCATCATCGCACGATGATGACGATTCCTCGCCTCGTCCACGATCGGCACCAACGATCGTTAGCAGCTCCGACGAACTGTAAACCCCCTTTCCGCCTCTCCTTCATATCCCTCCACTACGAATGCAGCACCGGAAGCCGCGCCGTTTCTTTCCGGCCGGGGAGAGAACACGTTCTGATTCGGCGTCAGATTCGGCGTGATTTCGGCATCATCCAGATCCGGATGTCGAACCCTTCTTCCATTCCAACGTGGGGGCAACTGAAATGGAAAGTAACTCAATTAGCTTTAAAAAAGAAAGAGATTAAATCTGTGCTTTTAGATTATTCAGAAATATCTCTGAGAAATTGAAAACAAATTTTCCTTTATAAAAATTTAATCAGAAATTTTTTTTTGATTTTGAACACACGCCAATAAATAGAGAGAATATATTCTTTAACTATATTCTTTTTTAAAAGATACTAGAATTATTATATCAATATTTTTAGATCTATATGCGTACGTTCTTTAGATTTCTTTTTTGTTCTTTTCAATACTTTTTGGCTTTTTCAAAAATTTTTCAAGATTTAAGACTTCTTTACGATCCACGACTTCAGATTTAAGATCATCTTGAGTAACGACGTCTCTGACTGCCTCGAACTCCGAGATCCTCAAACTTTCCCCGGTAGAATTCTCAGGCTGAAATACGTGGATGAGAAGGAATTTGCGATGGAATCCGTTCGCGATTCATCGGCCGGGAGGGATCGCGAGATCCTCGAGTACTCCGAGCGTACTCCTGCGAGAAAAAGAGAGAGAGAGAGAGAGAGAGAGAGAGAGATACGTCCTGCATCTCTCCTGCGATAGGAATACGCCTTTTAACGAGCGTGCGTACCTGGGGCAGGCGTTAAATATTGCCGCGAGGCGCGGATTTACATGACACGGCGGCGAAGGGAATCCTTTACGCAGGTGGGAGTTACGTTTGTGTAATTGGATAAAGATCGCGGGTCGTCGCCCTTCTCTCTCTTCCCTTCTTCCCCATCACCCCGTGTTCTGCCCTCACGATTCCACGAGCGGCAGAAATATTATTACCGTCGTATTTCTTTCGGCAGGCGGACCAAATGGCTTAAGCCCTTAACGATCTTCCAAAATAAATCGTCATAAAGGAATACTAAGATAAGAAAAGGCTCAAGAACACAAAGAAAAAAATTAAGAAAATATCGAGGATATAAACTGCTCCAAAAAATGAAAATTATGAAAATTAAAAAAAAAAAACTGCAAATTCACGGCACAATTTAATGATATACAGATCGTGTATAATTCCTTCCGATAATACAATAATAATTTTGTACTAACATATGTAGCTGTATATAATGACGATTATGAAGAGTACAAAGATAATCGCTAATCAATTTGTTTCTTTTTTATCCCAGCAAAAAGAGAGATCAATCGTGCAATCGATGAATGCACTCTCCCGATCGAGATAATCGCTATCGCCATTTACGCTCCGCGATAACGTCCTTGGGGATTTATTTCAAAAGCATAGAAAGTATCGCGATCGCAAAAGAGAACAGGAAAAAAACGATCGCCAATAAATGTGTCGGAGAATAATAAAGATCGTGTGATTCACATTTTTATTACTCGCACAAACGTCATCCTATATTTTTCTCGATAACCGCAAGAATATATCAATGCACAGAGTGTCGCGAAATTTATATTCTCAGCTATCGATACCTCAATTAATAAATCGTACTTTATTCCGAACGTACTATCCTGATTGTGCGCCACATCGAATCTAAAAAAGAAAAAGATGGAATGAAATATCGATCGGATATCGATCTCTCGAGCGCCTTTTCTGATCGTGATAAACCGCGTTGCGGAAATAAAGTCGCAGTTCAGGATTGCTAATTCAAAAATTCGCGCTCGCATTCTCTTCGTTGCACTTTTAACGTCACTGCATATATTTGCAATGCACGTCCGACTATACGCGGACACTTTCACTTTATATAACGCCATTTTCCATTGCGCGGATAAGAGCGACTTTAAGTAATATTTAACGCCAAAACTTTTTTCGAGCCACCCCTATAAAGATGTTCCGAAAATTCGATGTAAAAAACCATATATATA